CCCCCCCCCACTATTCTCTTGGTCTTGAGACATGGGGGTCCCTGCACAAGGTATTTCGAGACGTGCTGCCTGGATGTTTCTGAGCCACCCAAGAGGGTCCTGGAGACCTGCCCTTTTCAGGACAATGAGACTCCTTCACACCTGACCGTGCCTTCCAAGAGGAATAAAACAAAGGCAGCACCACCACGTGGGGAAAGAGCTGGCCACTGGCTGTCAAATCCCTGGTTCCTGGGGATGAGGTGGGGACAATGCCTAAACTCCTGGCCAGGGCGGCGGGCTGAGCGCCAGGGGTGGGCGGCTGGGTCACAGGCAGGGACCAGGGTGTGGCAGGTGTAGGTTCCAGCAGTTCGCAGCTTTACAGCCAGCCATCCCTGCCCAGGTAGGACCAGGTTGACCTCAGGGTTGGGCGGGGCGAGAAGAGATGGTGATCTCATTGTACCCTTAGAACCAGGAGAAAAAAGTAACCCAGTGCAGACAGAGGAGAAAGCAAAGGATGATGCAAATGGGAAAAGGAGACAGAACAGCTGTGGCTGAGAAAGGCAATGTAAACCACAGGGCAGCGTCCAGCTTGAAAGTGCTCTGGTGGGCCAGAGCCGCTCCAGGGAAAGCCAGACTCTGAACAAAACCTTTCTGCCTCAGCAACAAAACGTTTTTATGCAGAAAGAACTCACAGTGGACATCCGATCTGAAAGAAACTGGCGATTCCCACCCACCCTCTGTCCCCTGAGCTCCAGAATAGAAGAAACACCTGGAGCTCACCCTCGCCCCTCTGCCAGGCACCATCCTTTTCACCTCGCCCCGTTTCCACCAGGATTTGACAAAGTTTAATTGATTGAGTGAAACCGAAAGGCAACACAATAGGTGCCAGACTCCTTGCTTCTCTCTGCAGCTGCTGGGTTGTTTTCGTTTTTGTTTTCTTTTGTCTGAAAAGCCTCAAATAATTTGCATTCTATTTCTACTTACCTGCAGTCCAGTTAGAAGTGAGCTGCTCCCTTCTTCACTCCCTCAATTAGTGGTACCCTGGGCTTCTCTCCACATCAGCACCACTGCTCAGCTCTTGCCATGACATCACCTCCAAGCTCCGTGATTGGCCAACAGTGGGTTGCTTGGCAATTGGACAGTCTCCTCTGGCGGAGCAGGGATTGCCTGAGTGAGTAACTCTTAGCAGGCCGGGGAGTAGAAGATGATGTCAAATAGCTTGCTTTCTGTGCTGCCTCTGGAGCTGGTGAACCAGAGGGTGAGGGTGGGGATGAAGAAAGAAAGAGGGAGTGGTACGGGAAGGTGAGGGTGAGAGCCCAGCTTGCAAACCGAGCTGCCCAGTGAAGAAAGAGCACCTAGACAGAGGGAATGATTGATGATTTCCAGATTCTTTACCTTTTTCGGATCTGGGGGTGGGAGAATATGGAATCTAGAGGAGAAATCAGAAAGAACAGACGAACCCTAAAAATAGCTCCCTGGAGGGCTTGGTGTCTGCTTCTAGCTCTGTCAGAAGGGCTGGTGGGTTTGAACAGTGAATCAGAAGGCAAGGAGGGGCTGCAGGTACCCCGGGCCCTGGAGCTGATGTGGGCATGGCACAGGGGTCCCAGGAGAACAACGCTTCCCTCTCGTCGCCTGGCTGGCACATGGCCCACACATTTGCTGTGGCCACCTGGCCAGCACTGGTGGGTCCTCACAGCCCACCTCGCCCACCTGCACCTTCCAGAGGAAGGGGGACCATGACTGAAGCTCAAAGTCATCACCACCCTGGTGATTCCTAAATGAGATGGAACCCTACAGGGAGGTGACGGGTCCTCCGTGGTGGCTTCAGCAAATGGGGGCAGGGAGCCCAGGACACAAACCTCTCAGCCTGCCCACCCTCAGCCAGTTGGCTGGAGGTGGCAGAGTGAGGCAGTTAGGGGTGCAGAGGTCTATGGAGCACTGCAGAACACTGCTCCCCATCAAAGCCTTCTTGAGGAAGCCCTGCGTCCTCCCACCTCCACGGCAGGAACAGCTAGCCACCTGGCCGCCAACCAGCCTCACCTCCCCCCTTTTTTGCGGGCAGTGATTTTTGTTATTGTGGTAAAATACACATAACATAAAATTTACCATTTCGACCATTTTTAAAAATAAATGTATTTATGGCTGTGTTGGGTCTTCATTGCTGTGCTCGGGCTTTCTCTAGTTGCGGCGAGTGAGGGCTACCCTTTGTTGCGGTGCGCGGGCTTCTCGTTGCGGTGTCTTCTCTTGTTGCGGAGCACGGGCTCTAGGCACGGGGGCTTCAGTAGTTGTGGCACACGGGCTCTAGAGCGCAGGCTCAGTAGTTGTGGCTCACAGGCTTAGTTGCTCCACAGCATGTGGGATCTTCCTGGACCAGGGCTCGAACCTGTGTCCCCTGTATTGGCAGGCGGACTCTCAACCACTGCGCCACCAGGGAAGTCCCATTTCACATTTTTAAGTGTGCCGTTCAGTGGCATTAAGTACATTCACAGTGTTGCGCTACCGTCACCCTCCACCCATGGAGGTCCCATGTGGACGTGTATCACCAAGCCCCCCACTTCACTTCAGGAGGGGAGACCTTTCATAAGTCTGCTCCGCTCTGGCCAACCACACTGGGAGTGGCCAGAATAACGAACGCCCCCCGACAGCCTTTGGCATTTGCAAAGCTCATCGCCACTGGTTCTAAAGTGTAATCATAGATAGAACCAGCAGTGCTGCAAGAGCAGCAGAAGAGACCCATCTTCTGTTTGAACATCACGCTTACCTACCATGCATGCCACACGCCACTAGCCCATCACCCTCGGGCCCCATGCTGGCCCATCTCAGAGGGAATCAGGAGTGCCTAGGGCTACCTAAAAGGTTTCCTCAGCAGGCGGGGACAACAGAGGCCACACTGCATACCTGGCTGGGATGGAGTTTCCAAGCCGACCTGAACCCTGTGGCTGCCCCTGTAGTCAAGGGAGCTTCTCTCCCCTCCCCCAGTCTCTTTCTTCTTCCCTCCCAGCCCTGAGAAGTCTGGAACTCCACAAATCTGTCGGCTCTGGAAAGTGAGGGGAGGGGGGTAGAAGGCAGTGAGTTGCCATGGTGATGGCAGCCAGTGAGCCATCCTCCTCTGCTGGGGAAGCAGAGTGCTCTGTGAGTACCCCTGACTGACTGATAAGAGGGTGGGGCTGGGACAAGGGAGTGGGGGACAGGTCGTCACGACCTGCGAGCAGAGACCAAGATGGGGGACAGAAAGGGGGAGGGCTGCCCATTTCTAGAATTATCTAGTTACGATCTGAGTACTAAGATGTGATGGGATATATAAATATATTTACAATGACGTGCTGCCATCCATCTCCAGAACGTTTCATCTTCCCAAACTGAACATATGTGCCCATTAAACAAGGATTCCTTCTCCTCACAGCCCTTGGTGTAACATAATCCATAAATCTCACAACAGCCTTGTGAGAAAGGGACTCACGAAAAAGGACCCCATTTATACAAGAAACAGAGTCAGAGGTTTCCCTGGTGGCGCAGTGGTTGGGAGTCTGCCTGCCGATGCAGGGGACACGGGTTCGTGCCCCGGTCCGGGAAGATCCCACGTGCCGCGGAGCGGCTGGGCCGCTGAGCCTGCGCGTCCGGAGCCTGTGCTCCGCAACGGGAGAGGCCACAACAGTGAGAGGCCCGCGTACCGCAAAAAAAGAAAAAGAAAAAGAAAAAGAAAAAGAAACAGAGTCAGATGGGAAAGGTAACTTGCAAACAGCCTAGCTGGTAAGTGGTGAGGCCTGGAGTTGAACTGCGGGGAGGGGGAGAGAAAAGAATATTGGGAAGAGGGAGAGTGGGTAGAACCACCCCTGGAACCTTATTGGAAGGGAGAGTCCCAGGGCTGCCTCCCTGACGTGGCATGAGGCAACATGGTGACGGAGCAAAGAAAGAAACACGGTTTGTAAGAAAATGGACCAAGCATCAAGTCCAAAGGACAAAGGGTGAGGAGAGAAAAGAGCAAGGTCAAAGCTGGGAGGCTCAGAGGGCTGGGGGTGGGGGCGGTGCCCAGGGAACAGATGGAGGGGAGGGTGGGTGGGCTGCGTGCACCTCACACCTCAGTGTCCAAAGCTTCCGTGAACTTCGCTGAGAAAGACGGGCAGGGCAGAGGATGTTCCTGGACGTGCTGGGTCTGCTGGGGGTTGGGACAGCTGACTGTGATCAATCCATCGAAACGCAGCAGCTGGATATTGGTCAAAGTGACTTGGGTCCATGATGTGCAGATCTGCAGCTTCACTCTGCTGACACCACCCTTCACTGTGGCAATGGCATGTGTGGTCACTCCCTGAATCCCATGTGCTGCCCGGCTGCACCATGGGGACCCCATTCATTTGCCTCTTCCAAGGGTGGAAACGTGACTGTCTAACATGTGGGAATGGGCTCTGCATCCTCCTGTTGATTGGAAGTGTGAAAAGAAGCAGCAGCACAGATGATTGATCATCCAGAAGCCAGGTGCCCAAGGGCAATCCTGCTCAATGACTCGCCAGTAACTCACACTGACAGCCCCGGGGCACAGAGGAGCGCGTCCAGTCCCCAAAGGGGCCCTGCCCGTCACAGGGTGGTTCTCCTGTTTGGCCAACTGTGCAGTCACCTTGGGGACCCTGAACAAACTTCCCATCTCTTTCCAAACCTCAGGAAATATGGTCCCAACCTCATCCAGGAACTCAGAATATCTGATCACTGCATGTGTATCTGCTTCACTCACACCAATGCGGGTTTTTAAAAACTATGTAATGGGGGAGGGTAGGAGGGAGGCTCAAGAGGGAGGGGATATATGTATACATATGGCTGATTCACTTTGTTGTACAGTAGAAACTAACACAACATTGTAAAGCAATTATAATCCAATAAAGGCGTTAAAAAATAAAAATAAAACATAAAAAAAGAAACTATGTAATGTAAATGGGCATTTATTTTCTGCCCTTGTTTTAGGAGGAAACTAAAGTTTGGGGGATTTTTTTTTTGTAGAATGTGTCGAACTGAACAAGGTCAGATATTTACTTAAAACAAATACAAAGGTGTGTACTATGTGATATGTTTTAACTGTGAGCACTGTTATTCCACTTGAAGAGCGGCTATCCTGACTTGTGTATCAGTGCCTTAGAATTTTTTCAATCAACTGGAACACAAATAAACTCAGCCAATTTGAATTTAGGCAATGCCAGAGCTGTTTGTTTGTGCTGACAGTTATTTGTAAACTAAATTGTAACAGCGGGTAATGTTTAGAACAACAATATATGATGTTTGTAAACAACGAATATCCAGTGAGCTAAAACCTGGGAGTCACTTAGGACAGTGCCTGACACAGTGTGTGCTCAATAAACATTAGATGTTATTATGATTGTCACTAAATACAAAGTAGACTACCTATAAGTTTGCAAGTAGCAACAGCCCATTTCAAACTTGTTAACAAAACAAGATAATTTATATCAAAACTTAATAGTACTGGGATTGACATATATACACTAATATGTGTAAAATAGATAACTAGTAAGAACCTGCTATATAGCACAGGGAACTCCACTTCACTGTACAGTAGAAACTAACATAACATTGTAAAACAACTATACCCCAATAATAAAATAAACAAATAACTAAATTCAATTATAAAATACTAAAAAAAAAAAAAGATGTTGGAGGAGATGCATCCTCATCCAAAACAAACAAACAAACAAACTTGAGAGTAAACACACACACACATCAGTTAGAAATGGGCAGGGCTTCCCTGGTGGCGCAGTGGTTAAGAATCCACCTGCCAATGCGTGGGTCACGGGTTCAATCCTTGGTCCGGGAAGATCCCACAAGCAGCGGAGCAACTAAGCCTGTGCGCCACAACTACTGAGCCTGCCCTCTAGAGCCCGCGAGCCACAACTACTGAGCCCATGTGCCACATCTACTGAAGCCCACGCACCTAGAGCCCGTGCTCCGCAACAAGAGAAGCCACCGCAATGAGAAGCCCATGCCCCGCAACAAAGAGCAGCCCCCGCTCGCCACAACTAGAGAAAGCCTGCATACAGCAATGAAGACCCAATGCAGCCAAAACTAAATAAAT